TAAAATAATTTCTCAAAACTACTGGAGAGATCCCAAAATTTCTTTCTCAAAACATTTCTGTAAACTTTCTGAAAGAGATCTCAAAACAACTTTCTGTAAAACTCTGTGTGGCTAATTTTAACTGTGGGCCCGTGATATGTACTCAAAGGCGCCAATCCGACAGCTCAGGGGAGCGACCCACTAAACATATCGGACTCTCTGAAACTGATAAACTGATAATCTGAGGGAACTTGTTCCCGAGTACATATCACCTGATCTTTCACTTTAAATATTAGTTCTTTTTTATAGTGACGTTTGGGTTAAAAAAAACATCATTAAAATCTTGAAATAAAGTACTGACATAATCTTGACTATGCCAGATAATAAACATAACTTAATACAACAATTACAATAACTCAACAAATAATTCACCAAGCTCGCATAATAGCGAATAGTCTAAAATCATCTACTAAAAATCAACCAGACTTCTTTCTTTCATTTGGTTGAACAAACATGTACAGGTGGTAGTGAACTTACCTGTCAAAGCTGAACTCAAATCACTTAGATATGGATGGCACCTTGATAACGTCTTCCAGTAAGCTCTTCTTTGAAATCTTTAATTAACTATTAAATACAACATTACGACAAAATCTCATTATACTATAACCGAAGCTGATATCGATTGTACTAAGAATCAAAACTCTGAATTTGAAATCTATATATCTGTTTAAAAAAATGCCGACCCAAAAGATTAATACAGTAGCCTTTTATTATTACTCAAGCTAGTTGTTAAAAAAAATAAGAATTATCTGGCTTTGCACCAGATCGTGGTTATACATTCTGGAGACATGAGAAAAATGAAATTCTTCTATCTTGCAATCTCCATTCAACAACTAATTAGTCCAATCAAATAAAGTCCTAAAATTAAAACCAAAGAAGCTAGCCCCCTGCAGTTTACAAATACTTATTTAAAACAACACAAGCCTATGTTTCATATGAATCACTTTTCAGAATTCCAAACGGACAACAAGAACCCAGCCTGATTTAAAACTCAAGAAACATAATCCAAATATATGTATGTATATATATATATATAAAAGACCTAAGCAGTGAAATTTGTCCGGCCAAAACAGCCTCCTGTTTCGATATTAAATTTAAAATTATGAGAGTAAAACCCTTTGCAAAAGCATAGAAGACTGCAAATTAAACTTACCAGACAAGATCCGATGATACCAGAGACCAATTTGATAAACGAGATGAATTCCGGCGTTTGAAAGGAGTAATTCGGTGTAAAGGTTTTGAGAGCTTCAGCGGCGCTTATCTAAGCAAATGGCGTGACTTTCTCTAGGGACTTAGTTTAAAAGAGACTCACTTGGGCTAAGATTGATTTGGGCTCCCAGTATCCTTTAAAATTTTCCTCATTAAAATATTCTCTATTTCAAAATAAACTCATTAAGCTTTAAAACATTTCTTATTCATTTACTTAAAATTATTAGAGCTTACCGGTCAACGTTACCTGCCAGAACAACACGTGCTCAAATAATAAATCACATTAGTCATAGAAGAAACTTATTTAACATACTAAAATAAATAATATTGATTAATATATCTAGCTCATAAAAAATGGAGTGTTACACTCTCTTACTTGTTTGCTCTGACTTCTCTCTAAGTTATTCCCCGTAATAACCCTTCGGATATATACCCCCGGGTAGACTGTCCATCACTTACTGTTGATAGTGTGGACCCTAAGGTCCTTCTGCCCGAGCTGCTTGCATGCCTTCACGTAATAGCTTTGTGCCATCCTTTGATCTCCCTGGGCTACCCCAACCCCATTCGGGGTAGGGAACTTCATGCATAGGTGTTCCTAGGAGATAATGCACTTCAAATCCTCTAACGCGGGCCTCTCCATGATGATCTTGTGCGCGCAAGTCAAACGTACTACTATGAACTCGACGTTCACCACACTGCCCTCTGACTCGACTGAGTCCCCGGTAAGTCCCGAGAGCGGTGTTTTAACGGGGCTCAAAACAGTTTTACTTAAGCCAAGGCCTTGGAACGTGTCATAATGCATCACATTCACCGAACTTCTGTTGTCTACCAAAACTCGGTGAACGATAGTATTGTTAATTTCCACCTTGATAACCAGGTCATCCCTATGCGGCGGCGGCATAGGTGGTAAGTCAGCATCGGTGAAATAGATTGGGTCCCTCTTCATCCTCTTCTCCGCGGGCATCCGAGTAATCTCCCTGACATATAAGGATCGAGCTCACTGCTTCCTCTCCCTCGAGGTGTCACCTCTTTGAGGGCCACCAATGATGTAGGAACACTTGTTGTGCTTATGGGATCCTCCTTCCAGGTCATACTCATCATCGTCGGACAAAGCTCTGATCTCGTGCTTCTTTGAGGATTGGTCCACGGGCTACTTCTCCTTGGATGCGGTAGCCTGGTCGGGTCGTTTCCACGTCAGAGTTTTCCTCTGCTGGTTGTTTCCCTGCTTTCCTACGAACTGACCTAAGTACCCTTGTTTGATGAGTGCCTCGATCTGCCTTCGGAGGACAATGCATTCATTTGTGTCATGCGTGAAATTGTTGTGGAATCTGCAGTACTGGTCAGTGTTCCGCTTGGCGGTTACCACGTCACACTCCTCAAGGAAGGCTACCAGGCCCTGCTCCTCTGCATAGTCCTGAATCGTCCCGACTGCCTGGGCTAAAGGCGTTAGGTGTTTGGTTGATAAGAGTGGGCCGCTCGGGACATCAGTCTTTCCCTTGCTTTTGTTCTTCTTACCTTTGAACTTTCCGCCCTTACCGCCAGCCTTCGCATCGGTGTTCTCGTCTTCCGGGTCATCACGTTTCTCTTTGCCTCCCCTCCTTCCCGCTTCTTCATCCTTCTTCCTTTGCTCGGTGTCTTATGCCTCGGCCTGGCGGTGTGCACGCCTCAGGGCTTTCTCGTACAAAGAAGGTGGATTTCTGACAAAATCCTTGTAGAGCTCCCCCGACCGGATGGAATTCGTTAGCATAGCCACCACGATCCTGTCGTCAAGGCCCTGGACCTTGACTGACTCCGCTCTCCATCTCGCCAAGAAAGCAGATAACGCCTCCTTCTTTCCCTGCTTCAGGCTGAACAGGTGACTGAAATTCTTCTTCACGTCCCGGGAACCAGCGAACCTTAGAAGGAAATGCCTGGCCAGCTCCCGGAAGTTCCTGATGCTTCCATCAAGTAGCGTGTCATACCATTCCCGAGCTGGTCCGTCTAGTGTGGTTGTGAATCCCCGGCATCGTATGACGTCTTCATACCCCCCATCATGACCATATACAATAGATATCGTGATATATGGTGTTGCGGATCTGAAGTGCCCTTGTAAGACTCCACATTGCAAGGTTTGTATCCCCTCGGCAGTGGCGCTTCCATGACTGCACGAGTAAATGGTTCCGGGATGTGGAGGTCGGCCACATATGGCTCTCCCTCGATGACCCTTCTCCTCAGCTCGTTCAGTCTTAACCTTAGATCTTCTACCGCATCGGGTTCCGGTTCCGCTCGTGCGCGTCCAGCTCGGGGCTGAACCTGCGCGGATGACTCCGCAATCCTTTCGCCTATGTGGGGACCGGATCTAGCATTATGTCCTCCCGGGGAGCCAGCCCGCCTGCTTGGTTGACGGGAGTTGTAATGCGAAATGTCTCCTCCTTCCCGGAACGAGCGTTCCCAGGAAGGCCTCCTTCCGGGCCGCCGCGGCTGCTCGACTTGTCGGGCCAACTCCCTCCGGGATCCATCTGTGCTGGTGCGTCCCCCACGATACTGCCTGGAGGACGCCTCCAAGTCCGTAGGGGTGATATGACTCGAACGCCCATGCTCCGTCTCTTGCGGCATCAATCTCTGAAATCCCCGAGCCAAATCCTCAATAGCACGAGTGGCTTCCCGGAGTGCCTGCACTCCAACATGGAGCGACATCGGGTTCCGGCGCGGAACAGTATTACGTCCGCCTCCAAGACGTTCACGTACGGATCGCCTCCCACGATTCTGGCCCAACGAACCTCGCAAGTCTCCGGGGCTCGACAAGATGTTCCTCAAGTCCCCCGTCGGCCTCACCACTGTGCTTCTCACGCGACGGCCGTTGGGCTGCTCCGAGTGCTCGCTGTGGACGGAAACTCGTTCTTGCCTTGATGCTCCTGCTATTTTCCTCTCTGAAGCTTCTACCGAAAGAATGAGAGACGGCTCTCAATGAAAGTACCAATGTTGGTACAAAATAGCTCGAGAGAAAGCGGCGGCACTTCGGTATAGCAAAAGTGAAGTAGAGAATACATGGGGGGTTGATGGCCTATTTATAGGCATTCATCATAAGCCCAAAATCTAATCTACGTGGGCTTGGTCCAACTTAATAATACATCCCCTAGCTAATGGACGAACCGACCCGATAAATAAGTAAATGAGCAAGGGGCGATTCCCGCTCGTGAGACCGCGTCCTGAGCCTAGTTGGGCCTAAGCTCGGGGATATCGAGCCGATGGCACTGGGCCTGACCCATTATCCCAGCACATAAATACTTCAAAATTCAAGCCACTAGAACTAATAAATAAGGGATTAAATCCTTATCAAGTAAGATTGTGTCTATTTACCTTTAAAAACATCTTGTTAATTTAACTTGGGTAATATTACAAAAAATCTATTTGTATACGTTCTCTTATACACGTTCTTATACACTTGTCTGTTGTAGGTCATTTTTTTGTCTATGAACGAGATTCACAGACAAAACTTGTTTGTGGATTTTTTTTTTTTGTCTGTGACTGACAAAACACGCCGATTCACAAACAAAAAAATGACATGTCACAGACGAGTGTATAAAACGTGTATAAGAAAGAACGTGTACAAATAGAATGACCGGGTAATATTATGCTCTTTTCCCCAACCGTTGCCTATGGCAGACAAGAATGAGGATTCAAACCCGGCCCCATGGTCATCCTTATCAATAATATATAGACAAAATATTTGGGAAGACATAAAATGGTGGGACCCATGATATTTTGGAAGATTTTGCCCAAAGTGAGGAGATTGCTCCAAGAAATGAACAAAGCCAAATGCTTATAATTTTTTTTAAAGATACAGCAAGTTAACATACAAGCAATGTTAATCAAATACATCACATATGACATATTTCCCAATCCACATAAATCTCCTAAGATAGCTTCTGGTACTCTAAATAAATGCTGGAAGCAACAGAGTATCAATGTATATCATTATAACACATATCATGGAGCTAATCAACTCTTGTCTTACAAAAACCTGAGAACACTGAAACTACAAATCTGCAGTAAGAAGTAAGTCTACACACCACAGCATTGAGGCTTTGCTTGGTACCCAATTCTAGCTTATTAATCAACAGATTACTCAAAATAAGTAGCTTTTAAGTTACTCGTACAAGTATTTTCTTATGCGGGAGCGGACGTATACGGTACCCTTTTCCTTATTCGGACCAAATGACACTCCCGAACGAGCCCTTACCGGAGAAGGGGAGCGAAAAAAGCTTATGTTATATCAACTATAGTAGTAGATCTAAACAAATGAAAGAGGTGGTTAGGTGATTAATGTGGACAAGAATTGGGATGGATGAAATGGGTAATCTCGTCCATAAGGCAAACGTAATGGTCATTGTTTGGCAAGAAATAGAAACCGATGGTCGCCTTCTTGAGATGAAGAAGTTTAACCTCATGCCCACATTTCTCAAGCCCTTCAACATAACCTAATTGCCAATCTTGAGAAAGATCCAAACCGGCCACACAAACAAGGCTCTTCGGAAACAGTTTTAACCCTTCAAGATTTTTACTACTTCTTGGCCCGAATATATTACACGCCGGATGATCTCTGTCTTCCCCTTCCGGCAAGAACGCCCTCCAATACCAGTCTCTGTCTCTAACCGTCACGAAATATTTTCCGTCCAACTCCTTCTCCGATTCGGTCCTTCCCTCCCCTCCGAACATTGGGTGGAGGAGAATATTACCCAGTATTTCAAAATCTGAACTTTCCTCTGCAGCCCGGACTGCCACGTGGTGAGCAATGTTCCCGCCGGAGCTGTCGCCGGCGAGATAGACATGGACCTTGTAATTCCCATCTTTGCCGCTCTGCAACCACGGTCTGGATTTGACCCATTTGAGAGCCGACCAGCCGTCCTCGTACGCACATGGGTACCTGTGCTCCGGCGACCGGCGGTAGTTGACGGAAACAACCACGCATTTGCAGATTTTAACCAGACGGCGGCAGAACGTGTCGTAGATAGCACTATTCGCGGAGGAATGAGTGAAGCTTCCGCCGTGGAAGAAGATTATGACAGGGATGACCTCCGTCGTGCTCAGAGGTTTCTCCAGTTCGACTTTGCCCCAATCTGCCGGGTTCTCGGGTGCGGGCCGGAATACACGATTAAGAATATTTGTGGTCCGATCCAATATATCAAACGAGTAAACCCCATCAACTGGGTATATATTGGATTGGACTTTCCGGTCAAGAAACTCCGCCAAATCGCGATTGAAGGACCCATCTGACCTCCTGAGCATGTTATACGCAAGCTTGAAGTTGGATATGAGAATAAACGTATTGAGTGGAACCACCCTCTGCAAAAAAGAAAGAAAACATTTTTATTTCCAACTACTGATTGATCATTCATCATATAGCCCATTAATGGCAATTCCCAGTAAAGGAAATAGTGGAAACAATTTCACACAACCAGATATGGAAAGAAAGCAGAAAAGCAAAACGTATGTTGATTTTCAGAATGACTGTATCTAAATCAATTAGCAATAAACAGAGCAACAACCCATGAACTGAATGTAATAAAGATTCAAACTTTTACATCAAATCAAAGGTTTGGGTCAAGTGGGGTGAGATCATATAAGGCCAAAACCCAATATAAGTGATGAAACTAACCTGGGACTCACTGGCGTCGATTTCATTACTGCCTGCCATGAATGAATCGTGTTCAGATGTGGGAAAGCTTTAGATGGTGAAGAAGAGCAGAGTTTAGTTACAGAAATTAACGGCTGGGGGAAGAATTTAAGGAATGGATTAAGACTGCGGGTGAGGTTGCGTTGGGGAGGAGAAAACAGAGTTCTCAGAGGACAGCGCAGCACAAATGAAACACGGAATATGGGGAAAAGACAGAGAAATAAAGATTCAATAAAGGCTGAGGAAGAGGTGGAGAGAGAGGAAGGAAAGAAAGAAGCGTGAAGTCAAACGCAAAAAGACGACGGAGCCTATAGAGACGACAAAGCGAGGAGGCCGATATCAACTGTTTGCCCGACCCACACATTATTATTATTATACTCCCAATATAAATCCATTTTTCTGGTTTAATTTTTTTTGTTTTTCTTTTTAGTGGCAAATACACTTTTCCGCCCATTGTCATTTTTCGAAGAACTTTCCTCGATCTTTTTTTCTTTCCCATAGGCCATAGCTTAATGAAGCAATGTTTTGTATAAAATTTCCATTCTCTAATCTAATATACTCTGTCTATATTTGTCAGTCTTCCTTAATTTTTAGTTTTCAAATTTATTATATAGTGTAACACTGTTACATAATATATACGAAGTACGGAGTAATACTCAATAGTAGGGGTGGACAATCGATTTGGTTTGAGAGAATATTTGTTCAGTTTTTTTCGATTTCGCTTTATTAGGTTTGAGAGAATTTGTACCAAAATAAAATCATTTGTGTTTCGATTTGGTTTTAGTTTACCAAAGTGAAAATTATTAGGTTACCAAATTAGCTAATATGACAACATATATGACACTTCATAATTATAAAGCTTCCTTAGGGTCATCCAAGGAGACACTAAAATTGTGGAATCATGGTATATCTTTATCAAATACTCCATCCGCTCCCCTGTTATTATCTCATTGCGGTTTAGGATGCTTGACTGACGATAAAGCAAACAGATCTCTGTCCGCTATCAAATTATTTATAGGAAAAAAAAATTACATATTCAGAAACTACATTAAAATATTTACAAAGTCGCAAAAACCAGAATCAAATTTGATAAAAATTTGATACTTTTTTTTCTTTTTCCTTTTTTTATTTTTTTTATTTGTTTTTTTTTCTTTTTTGTTTTTTTTTTATTTTTTTATTTGTTTTTTTTTACATTTTTTTTCTATTTTTTGTTTTTATTTTTTTTATTTATTTTTTTTAAGAGTGATTTGTGTTGACCAAGTGAATAGGAAATGAGACAATAACAGGGGGACGGAGGGAGTAGTACTTAATCTTGCACCTTACTGTTTATTTTAAATTTACTTAAAAAAATTCATAACATTTTCCTTTTTTCTACAAACTATCATATATAGTCAAAGTTACAACATATAAATTCTCCTATATTTTTTATTTAAAATAATTGCATATTACATACCATTATAATAAAAGTTAATTTTAAAGATAGAAATTGCCCTAAATAGGGGCAAAAATGATTTGAAATTCCAAAATAGGAGTATCATGTTTTTTATTCCCTGAATAGGAGTAATCTGCCAAGTTTGGTAAAAAATGTCATGTTTTAAAGCCTAGTAATGTCAAACTTGACAGAAATTTACTCCTATTTTGGAATTTCAAAACTTTTATACTCCTATTTAGGGAATTCTCACTTTTAGAGAAGATGTTATTCTGCTTTACTATATGTACTCGTGCATTGCACGGGTATTGCGTCTAGTTTATATATACATCACAAGATGTTCGGTTCGGTTTAAGGTTTTTCATTTTTAAATCAAACCAAATGAAATCATCCGGTTTGAGCAAATTGCTACCAAACGATTTACCTAAGTAAATCCAAACCAAACCAAACCACCAATTCTCGATTCAGTTCGGTTCAGTCAAACCAAAACATTTTGCCCAGCCCTACTCAATAGGAGATGTAAATGGAGAAAAATCTAAACTAATTTATATGAACTTGGTGAAATAAACAATAGAAGAGCTTTTTGATTTAAGACTCATAATACTTGTTCTATAAAAAACAATCTTTTTGAAATGTTTTATTTAAATTTAACTGAGAAGAAACTCAATTTTATAAAATATCGAACATTATTAGATACCATACATCATAGTTGAACAATTGTTAGAGAATGTGAAGTGAATCCAAAATGTGAGTAATTGTGTGAAATTAGGAACACACATTCATCTAATTCTGATCATTTGAAAAGAATTAATTGCATGAGTACTCATGAACGTTAAATTTATCTAGCCCGAATAAAAAAATAGGCATGGCATGGTTGTATCCGGGAATCAAGGAGACTTGATACTAGATGACCTGAGAGAGTTGTTACGGGAAAAATAGCATTTGTTGATTAGTTTTAATTTGTGGACGATCTGTGAATCGAGTAACTTACTCATGTGCAGATTGATAACCATTTATATTTTAAGCGTGATTTTATTGTAAGCTTTTTTATAAACAACAAGTTGGATCAATAAAGTTTTGGCTATTTCGATTCAAAAAATAGAAGGTTAGATGGGTTAAATAGATTAGTTTGTTTTGAAGGCTTAGTTTGATCCTAGAATGAAGAAAGTTTCAATTCACCTCCAAACTCGCTAAAATATTTCAAAGGTCATTTTTAGCAGTAATGTTTTCATTTCCCGCCACAATACCTAAAAGACGAAAAGAATTTTTTATGCGAGTATAACAATTGTTAATTCTAGTGATTCAAAAGATCTTAGAAGAAAAAATGTTTTGATTATTAATTTGATGATAACAAAATATTTATTTAGTTATATATGTTGATATAAAAAAATGTTGTGACTAATTAGTGATAAAAATCACATACTTTTATTAGAAGGTACCAATGTAAGTTTTAAAAAAAATGTTGTACTCCGTATATAAAAAAAATATTTAGAGATTTTTCAAACTATACACAAGTTAAAAGGTATGGAATTCAGAGGTGAGTTTGATCCGGGCACGAAATTTCCCCAAGTCCGACCATGATTAGCTGATCGGTGATCATCGAACACTACAAAAAAAATCGCCTATAGTCACGGACTTAGTCACAGACCGTAGTGTAAAAAGTTCGTGACTAACACTTTTAGTCTATTAATAATGCACATTTAAACTATATGATCCGTGACTACAGGCGATTTTTTTTGTAGTGGAAATTAATTTTGTATACTATGATTTGTCAATAATAATTCATTAATTGTTACATAAAAAACCTCTTGCAATTGGAGGAATCCATTAATTGTATTTACTTTGGTCAAAGAAGAAGAGTGTTTTCTCAAAGCTGGCAGCTTCATTGTATGGATATTATTTGCTTTCTCAAAGTTGTTTTTTTATTCAAAAATTCTCATATCTTAAAGAATCTCATAAATGTTTATAACGCCATAAAATCTTCCACACTTATGTCTAAATCATCCAACGATTTCTCTTTTTTTTTTGGTCAAGAAACGATTTCTCTTTTCAAAACGATTAGCTATAATACCACGCGAATTAACTCAAAAGTCTCACACAATACCACATCAAATTAATTAAGAGTAATGCTACGTAAAATAATTTAATACTAAATGATAATCACGGAATGCTTACGCATGCAATGATGTAAAGTTGCAAACCTACTCAACAGTAAACACAATTGATGGCACAAATATTCGTCCCATAACGTCATTAAGATTTAAGTTTGACCAGGAAATTGTATTATCAACATTCAATATTACTCTTATAAAATTGAATCTGTTTTTCCACTTATCACATTTATGAGCTAACTCTTTTATAACACAGTAATTTTTAATTTCACGCACTGGATTGTGTAATAATAACAAAAAGTAAGGTTTAAGTTACTCTTCTGACTCTAGTAGCCGAAGTTATTATAGAGGACCACTTTAGTTATTTTTCATATAATTTGTTCTTTATTTTAATAATAAAATACTACTTATATTTTTTATAAAACTTTTTCATAAATCAGAAAAATCAGCTAATTCAACCATTTCAACCATAATTTCAGAATCAGCCGATTTCAACATTATCAAACAGTCTCTATATTCGTCTCTTTTGACAGTTAATTTTAAGTTAAGTCCATTATGGAAGATGAAAAGTGAAAGTTATGCATTTGAACTTTGTGCAGATAATTAAAGGAAATTGATGAAGTGTTTGAGACAAATGAAATAGAAAAATTGACAAGTTCCAATAAAACGAAGTATATAGATAGTACTCTCTCTGTTCCTTAAATTTTGTCATAGTTTGACTTCACACTGTAACGACACTGTTTCACACTGTAGCGACACTGTTTGGCACTGTTTGACACTGTTTTGCACCATTTGACACTGTTTGGTATAGATTTGTTTACCAAATAAGAAAGTTGAAAAAGTAAGACAAATATTTTGGGACATCCGTTTCGGGAAAGTGTGACAAACTTTAAGGGACGGAGGGAGTATATAACATGAAATCCTAAAATCGAATATTATAATACGGAGTAGTTTTTATTCTACGTAAAAGATTTACAACAAAATCTAAACATGTGCTATTAATTGCATGCTTGAAAAATATCAATTTTATAAGATTACACCTTTATAATAATGTTAAGTTCACAAATACAGAGTATTATTTTTTGTATTTAACCTATGTAATGTTGTTAGTTGCGTACGCCGTAGACCAGAACTTGATTAATTAGTTTGACATAAATAATTTCTATGTGATCGACTGATCGGTATAAAACGTACAGATCTTCTCCAATTAGCGAAAATATATAGGGGTCAATAACATATTTATCTCATTTATTTAATTTAATGAAGTTCTATTCTAGCTTAAGCATACATCATTTATAGTAATTTCACTGAGAAAATAACTTTATTCATACTTATTTTGATGATAATGCAATACAACGTGAAAAACTAAAAGTTACACGGAGTATGTGTTTGGTACAAACATTAATTGATAACAGGGATGGGGCTGTAGCCAAAGCCAAGGGGGTCATGACCCCTCCCAACTTTTCATTCTTTAATTAGTAGTGTAGTTAGGTTTTTATTTTTACCCCCAACCTGTTATTCTTTATTACGGAGTATTACTTAGTCCATAGGTGTGCAATTGTGCATCACTACTACGTAGCATCAAGTGGAGTAGTGCATCACTACTTCCTTATTATTTCTTGACTGTATTATCAAGAAAAACAGGTTTGGGATATTATTTTAGAATAGTTGGGTTCTAAATTATTCTTGATTCAATTAAAAATTTAGAATATTATTTTACAAGACTGCAACCTATTATTAACCGTGTTGGCCTGGGATATTATCTACTAATTAAAATTTAATGAAATATGGAGTATTATACAAATTTAT